CGTCGGCTGGGGCAAAATCTCCTAACATGGGGCCGGCTCGGCCTTAAATAGCGTCCTTGGTCCATTCTCTCGGACCAGTTCTCGGGCTCGGAGGGGGAGATGTAGCCATACCCGGAACTGCAAAGTGGCCCGGCGGAGGAAACGACGTTATCCCCGGACAGCACGGTTCTCCTGCACAGAAGGCGGCGCTGGGAGGGGGGGGAGACCGTTCGTCGAAACAGGGCTCGATCTCGTGAGACGTGCTGCCGAACGAGGAACATGTCGGTGGCACAACAGCACCCCCGCCGCCAGACAATGCATCCGGAGTTTTGAGCCGTCAGCGCGGCTCGGAAGGAGGGATGCTGGTTGACCATCGGTAGCCGTTCCGCTCTCTCCGCCCGTTGAGACTTCCAAAGGCCTGCAGATGTTCACTGGAACGACGGAGTCGAACACAAAGGCGAACCACTCCGGCCAAAGCAAGCACCCTCCAAATGCTGATCAAGTCGCCAGACCCGCAGAAACGAAAATTTTTCCTCGAGATTTAACTGAGCAAAAAAAAAAATAGCATCACGAGCAATGTATCTGAGGAGCAATACATAATGTGGACACTCCTTTACAGTGCATGACACTGCTAAACCAAACAGAATTTTTTTTTTTCGTGAGCGATTCTCGATTGCGACCCGGGCAGATTAGGGACGATCGAAGCTGCCGAGGTTAACTGCGGGGGTGCTGTTGTGCCACCGACATGTTCCTCGTTCGGCAGCACGTCTCACGAGATCGAGCCCTGTTTCGACGAACGGTCTCCCCCCCCTCCCAGCGCCGCCTTCTGTGCAGGAGAACCGTGCTGTCCGGGGATAACGTCGTTTCCTCCGCCGGGCCACTTTGCAGTTCCGGGTATGGCTACATCTCCCCCTCCGAGCCCGAGAACTGGTCCGAGAGAATGGACCAAGGACGCTATTTAAGGCCGAGCCGGCCCCATGTTAGGAGATTTTGCCCCAGCCGACGTTGTCGTGCTGGCCGGCTCTGTAAAACGACAACCTGCTACAATAAACGCTACTTTTGTTGCTGTTTTCCAAACGGATTGCCTCCCTGTTTCACCTTGTGGCTAAGGCTTCAGCGAAGCCCGCTCGACTGCTCGCCCCTCTTCGCCACCGCTACCATCGCGACAGAGCAAATTCATAACAGTGGTGGCAGCGGTGGGATCCCACCGCTGCCACCACTGTTATGAATTTGCTCTGTCGCGATGGTAGCGGTGGCGAAGAGGGGCGAGCAGTCGAGCGGGCTTCGCTGAAGCCTTAGCCACAAGGTGAAACAGGGAGGCAATCCGTTTGGAAAACAGCAACAAAAGTAGCGTTTATTGTAGCAGGTTGTCGTTTTACAGAGCCGGCCAGCACGACAACGTCGGCTGGGGCAAAATCTCCTAACATGGGGCCGGCTCGGCCTTAAATAGCGTCCTTGGTCCATTCTCTCGGACCAGTTCTCGGGCTCGGAGGGGGAGATGTAGCCATACCCGGAACTGCAAAGTGGCCCGGCGGAGGAAACGACGTTATCCCCGGACAGCACGGTTCTCCTGCACAGAAGGCGGCGCTGGGAGGGGAGGGAGACCGTTCGTCGAAACAGGGCTCGATCTCGTGAGACGTGCTGCCGAACGAGGAACATGTCGGTGGCACAACAATGTCCAGCTTGAAGTGATGCAGCACAAAAAATGGAATAGATAGTTCCACCAAAAGGTGGAACTAGTTATGCTCCCGTGGGGTATGAGAGCCATATATCAAGGAACAAGCAAAAAAGTAAGCTTCTCCCACCATACAGTTGCTTCCGCAGTCGACGTCCACACTGTAATGCCTGGAATAGTCATAGGCGGACGTTTTGGTGAAGTGCATTGAAACTGTTCTTTTCGCCACCGTTATCATGGACTTCTACTGACACCAAAGAAGTAAACGCCGGACAAACTCCGGCGAATACGGTGCAGGTAGTTCGGCCTTTGTGATGCCACCCCGTGTCGTACAATCACCTGCGGAACAGCTTCCACAGAATGTTGGTAGCGCTCAAGCAAGGCAGGCTCGCATACGTGCCCAGACACAGGAAGAACGTGCAGCTGCGCGTGTGAGAAACGCCGCAGCTCAACGCACATTCGACCGTGTTCACTGCATTTCGTATAGCTCTTTAATCTCTTAGTCTTACATCGTATAAGAGTCCGATGGGTTGCTATCACATGCATTCCTTCGGCCTTGTGGCTAAACTGTGACTTTTCTCAGTTGCTATGTAACGTATCATTACTGTTTCAAAGCTGTAACGGGTAACGTACTTTCATTACCTTTTTTGCTAACGTGAGGTGTTACGCGACGTTTTACTTCATTTACCTTCATTTTTATTTACCTATATTCGCCGTCTTACTCCAAGTTCATTCTTCTTGTAGGGCGCGTTTTGCGAGCTTGCGCGAACTTTACTTTTCTGTGGCGGCGGACGGCAGCCGGCTACCCAAGCGCTGCCAAAACTACACCACATAGAATCTTTTTTGCACAGAAAGGGGGGACGACTGTAGAGAAAGAAAATTGCAGAAATTACCAAACAAATTTGCTATATTTCCAGCTACTTTGTTATTCAGGTTGAAGTTAGTGCTGACTGTCATAGAAATGAAGCGTGATGTTATTTTTTTTGTTTATTTATATGGGTATTTCGACAAAATGCCCGCGAAAGAGGCAAAAAGAGGGAGTGTCTACTAACTTGGCCCACTCTTCGTGAGGCACCTCGGGTAGGTACAGCAAAAAAGTTCATAGAAAAATTCAACAACATATACACACAAATAATAAATAAATGAGACCACTACGAAAATCGGAACTTGTGGTAATACTAACGTCAAAAGCAAGCATTCCAAATCTCATCGGTTTGCGGACATCAAAACACGATGTGAGCTTCAGCCCAACGGCGAATGACTACTTCGCAAATGCCTTCTGAACCTAATCGAGAACCAGTATGAGGGACTGTTTCGATACTCTTGATGTCGCACGGCATCGCCACTAGCAGGACTAAGGAGACCAACCTTTCAGCGAACTGTTCCTATAAATTAATACAGTAACACCATACATAGTGCCTCGGACGAGTTCCTATTTAACGTAGCGTTGGACGTCTTTGATAAGTGAGCCAAGCTGTCTGGTCAAAGCTTTAAAACGCAGCGCAGCTGTTGTTAGATTCAGCGCTTTCTAGTTACTTTAGAAAACGGTGCCTGCCTAACTCTACCACTGTTATAAACTTCGTGGTCAAAGTTAATTTTACTTCTTGCTATTTGCAACTGCAGCTACACTTCTGGTTATTGAATGCGGGAACAAGTGAAGCTGACGTTAGAAATGTTTACATGAGCAGTCACAGTATTTGCCGCTCTTATACAAGTCGATGATATAAAAATGGATCTTTACATCTGCAAATACTTTTTCCCATATTTATGCCATTTAACCACGTTTGTATCACTACAAAATTTCAGCATTGACTTTGGTAGTCATATATATTGCAACTTTGTTCAGTGATATTTTCATCTCTGATAGCTTTGAGGTTGAAATCGATTGCTTTGTGTTTATTGACCCATTTCAACAAAAAAGTTTACACATGTGGCACAGAGTTAGAATCCATCACATATGTAACTCTTCAGGCAACAGTGGACAACTCTAGTAATACGTAGATACACCACATTCGTGCCAGTTACTCTCATTTATTCAGTATTTGGGGTGAAGTTTTTGTTTGGCTGGCGTTCCATTCAAATGCAAGTTTTATACTGTAGCTTTGTGGATTTTTTAGGCGAAGAAGAAGTGATTAAGGTTTCTTACTGAGGACGAACGTCGATAGTAACGTCTCCTACTTTTTTTTTGTTAGCGGTAACGCTAACACGTTTTTTTTTCTTTTGTGTAACGCAAAGAGTTTAGTGTAACGCAAAGAGACAACGGACACAACATTTGAGTCAAATCATATCACTTAACGGGTAGTTACGTAACTTGTCCATTAAAGTCTAGCTATACTTGGTGCAATTAGCATAAAAGTAAGCATCTCTAGCAAAGCTTCACTACTAAGCTAATTCGCTGGCTGAAATATTTGCTCGGCTGATTGTTTTCACCTTGCGACAGTATAGTTGTGTCGAGGCACCACTGACGTTGAACTGCTTAAGTGTAATAATAGTGAAAGTTGGGCTAGTTGGTGGTTCATACTTGGGAACTAAAAACAGCGCAAAAATATAGACAAGGACAAGGACATAAATATGGATGAGGTGTCGTCTCTTCCTCTGTCCTTGTCTATATTTTCGCGCTGTTTTTACTTCCCAAGTATGCTTAAGTACAGGTGTGAAATTTCAGCTGGCAATTTTGTCCACAACTTTCTCTGCTAATTATTGAGGCATATGGGATGCATTTCAGTCAAATAGTAGCCGCTACAAGGATTGATCCTGCAAACCACAGTGGAGCTTGGGTATACTGAACTGTACATCAGATATACTTCAGTCATTCAGAAACAGTGGTTTCGCTTGAAACAGTTTCATGTGCTAACTCACCGAATGTACGGCATATAGTTTCCTTCAGCACTGTACAGAATACGGACTTTCGTCATAATCTATGACCGTATAAGGAACGCCGCTTAAAATTATTGGACGAGAAATACGGCCCGCTGGCGATTCTTTGTTTTATTAGACTAGCCCATCAGCGCTCTGGTCTCACTACTGATCATGGCAAGTATTAGGAGAATCTCCAAGTCACTAATGCTAAAAACAGCTTAGAACGACGCAATTCTGAGCTAGTTGGTTGGAACTCATAATGAGAGAAAACAAGGCGTGCACACACAGAAACACCAGTACACTGGTTGTGTACTCTGGTGTCTCTACCTGATAATTTTTTTGGGAGCAACGTTGCAAGGCAGTTCTATGCGCTGCCTCATTTAAGGCTTGTTAAACGGTGATAATTGAAACCTTGCATTTGTTTTGTAGATTATGTTGTTTCAGAACACATTATGTTATGCATTTGACTGGTCTGCAGGCATGAAGTGACACAGTTCCGACTTTCTTCGTTTTGGAGTTCTCTAATCAGCACATGCGCAACAGTTACACTGGGTGTCTTCATAAGCGTTGCAACAGGTATGGTCCTTTTCTTGAGGTAATTTTTTTTTTACCAGACATGTTTTTTTTTTTAGGTGGGAAATGTTTTTCGCAGCTTTTTGAAGACGGCTATCAATTTCAGTAGCTTGATTGCATAAGAATAACATTCAGGTAACGAAGATGAAGAAGTGCGCTTGCTTCTTGAGGCTTTCTTTATGCAGAGTTTTACATTGCATCCCTGGGCATCATCTGGTGGTCTTCGGTTCTAGCGCAACCTTGGGCAATATTTACCATAACACGTCACTTATCTTTGAAAAGCATGTTATTGTGAAGTCAAGAAAGTTTCTTTTAACCGATTCGTTAGTCTTAAGCATTATTTAAGCCCTCCACATCTATAGTAGGTGCAGCTTAGTACGTATGGAACCTTTTACGCATAGGAGGTAAGATGAAAGAACACTCGAATATGCCAATCATGTTCACGCTAGAGAAGCTAACAACTTTTTTATATAAGGATCTTCATGGTCACGGTTATGTAAGTAACTTGAACATGAAGCTGAGATTGTCATGTCAGAATGAAAAATGGCAACAATACGCCACACTTCCTGGAACTATCAAGAACATTAAAAATATTTGACTTCTGATGTGTAAAGATCCTGATATTTATTTCAATAACTTTCCAGTATTGTTCCCTTCTATAAGAATAATAATGATAATAGGCTGCCACAGCATGAACATCTCTTTGTTCATATTGCCAAATACGGTTCCCGTACATGATCTTTTTGTAGGGGAACACAAAAAGCCAACCGCTCAATCGAAGCACTTAAACCAGTCGTCCATTCTTTTATGGAAAAAGCTGGGGCTTTCGCGCCCCGACACACCAATTGCGGTAAGTTTACCCTCAATATGACTGACAATACTTTGTTACATTTTGTTTGCAGTTATCAGAACGGCACTGTTTCAGTAGCAATAGTCCTACATACACACAAAAATTATTACACTGCATAGAACAAATATTCCCTATAGAATGTGAGTCATACCGCAAACAAAAGCATTGCCACTGTGATAATTCAAGTCACAAGTATGCACTTCATCCTATTTATGACACATACATCTGGTTTGTAAGCACCGAATATGACTGCCCACAATGAACATATATGAAAGTTTATCTTTTTCTTGAGCGTTTTGATTTCAGTGTGTAATATTTTTTATTTTTTTTTCGGTGGGTCAGCCTCACGTCTAAGCACTCTATCGCTGAACCGGAGAAAACCCTTTAAATTACTTTGTTGTGGCATGTAATATAGGTCTCATTATTGAAACAGTCTCAGCTGCCGCCAGTAAGCTAAAGATTGGGGAGTATCAAATTTTGTGCGAGGTTCCATGATTTTGTATTTTGCCGTGGTTCACTGGTAATGTCATTCAATTGCTGTTTCATATCACGTGCCCTTTCAGCTATATTACACTGACGTAATTGTAGAACTCAAATCCTACCCCTTAAATGTTTTACCAATCCAATCAGTATGTACACGCGCACGCATGCAAATGAATGCTTGTACGCTCGTAAAAACGTTCTGAACAATTGCTCCCGTCCCCTTCGAACGGTTGAAAAGTTCTAGTTACGACCCTGATCTATAGCGTTAGCTTTTGGAGGGTGAACACCATCAATTCTTAAGTCATCATTTTATTAAGCATTCATTGAGTATTTCTCACGGTTGGAGAAATCATCCCTTAAGATAGAAGGCTTCGACGCCTGATTGTTGCGATCATATGAGCAAATAACTCTCTCGAATTACCGCGAATGTCTTTTGCCTTGGTATAATATCGGGTCGAAGATATATACGTGCGCATAGAGTTATATGTACAATTGCATATAAATTGTAGAGATCATGACCTATAGCAGCACAGATAGGAAGCATGAACGACACTGCTGGTTGTAATAAAGAAAAACCATAATACCATGCCAGGCATGTAAAAGTGCCAAGTTGTCCTTGCAAGCAAAGACAACTTGGCAGTGCCGCATAAATACATTGGAGACCGGTCGCACTCGATAGAATAAGCTGGTTGGTTGCCTGCCAGTACTTGGTTTGGGGCCCGTTGCTTTCCGCTTTGACAGCTGGCGCCTAACCATATCTTCAGCGCTGCGGTGCGCATGTAAGAATGGCTCTGTTTGTTTCTCTATTCTTATGATCTGTTTTGTTCTTGCTTTTGATATGCACTGTTGCAAAATGTTTTGACTAGCAAGCTAACAACAAGCACGTCAGAGCAAAAGTAGAATAATCAAAAATGCCGAACACGCTATTCTACGTGAGATCGAAAAAGAAAAGAAACAGCCCGTAGTAAGGCCTTCGTTTCTTGTGAAGGTAATGCGTGCTACCTAAATTTGTAGCGTTTTTCAGAAAGTTACGAACGCAAGAACAACACAACGTGCTCTCGGTTTTTGTTGACGTTGAACTGCCTAATATTATCGCTAGTATTAACGATAATTACGAACATTTCTTTTTTGAAGACGATGCCTCCAGGAGACCGATTTTTATGCTTCTGTTCTAAATTGCCCTCTCTTGCAGATGGAGAACGTGCAAAAAGAATCCGCTGAAGCTACCGCCAGCCTTCTGGACGCTAAAGAAGTTTCCAAGGCGGAAACTGCAACATGAATTTAGTGTCGCCTGCTTCGAGTGTAACTACAAGTTTGAACTGCTAGTTATTTAGTAATAGCTACCACCAAATAAATACCGCATGTCGGAGTTGCACAGAAACAAAAGGAAGCTGATCTAGCTCTAATTCAACCAGTATTGACAGATCGGCGGGTTGGTGACCGTGTATATCATAAAATGACGCGGAACAAAATGGCTACTGGGGAGAGAGAAGAGGGCACGATACCACAGTTATGATGGGCATACGTCAGTATCAATAAAGTGCAACACTCTAACTTTTTATAGAATTAGTCCACATGCGTGCACGTAAGAATGTTTTAGGGGCGAAACACTTTAGTGTCGAGCATCATCCGTTGTGAAAGAGAACATGGAAAGCCCCCCCCCCCCCCCCCTATACGCGATGACGATGAAACGAAGAATAAGTGCGTTAGCACGACCAAGGTTCCCGATGACGCTGCCATCACAGCACAGCACATGCGAGGTACCCACCATGCAGCATGACGATGACGCTACCGATGATAAAGAATATCTGCGTTCCGGAACATACATTCTTTTTCGACCATGGACAAAAACGATTGTGAAAGTGCTCTCCCCCGCCAAAGGCAAAGCGTCCACGCCGACCACAATATTCGCAAGCTGTTATTCGCCCGCTCGTCATCATTCACTTTGTGGAGATGCGTAGATTTTAAATACGATAGTCTTCCTTGGGGACCTTCAACGCAAAAATTTTGGTCTGTCTGTCTGTCTGTCTGTCTGTACATTTGTCTGTTTGTCCACTTTAAACGGCATCAGGTTCTTGAAACGCCGACCCCATCTGCAGCGCCCACCGATGTTTCTCAAGGCTTTACGTTCATACTTCTGCAATTGTTAACTAATAAACAATTATTGTGCATGGTTGGGACACCATAACAACAAGTATACATTCTGCATATGCATCTTTCACTAGAAAAAGCATACATAAGTAATTTTAAGGACCGTAGCGCTTATTGTGCTGCGCTGACCATGCAACGCTTGCTCGAAAAGGTGAGTGTTTCCAACGCTTTGATAAGACGAGACGGTGGTGGCACCTTCCCGACACCTTGCGTTCTATACCTTATCACCTCTGAGACGGGCGCGCACACCCTTCTCAGAGGCACGCGCTTAGTTCTTCAAGAAAAATGCAAGATGGCGGTCATGTCTCACGTGTGACGTGACTTGATGCGTTCATTTGCCTCCGCTGCACGCTCGAGGCACTCTAAGACTCAACTCATCGTTATTACATTTGCACCCGTCAGATATGGTCGTCATTTATTCCGGTCCTATAATACCAAATTTGATATGTAAAGCTAGTGAAACGGCTACGAGCGTATCATGAGTGTGGCATGTAGTCATTTTATTGCATGACACGCATCTGATGATTATAATGTTTTCACCAGTCACACGCCTTCGTCATTCATTCACGTCCCGTAATACCAAATTCGGTATGTGCGAAGATAGCAAAACGGTCACGAGCACATCATGAGTGTGGCATGTAGTCATGTTTCATGACATGCACGTTACAATTGTTATGTTAGTGTCCGTCGCTTGTGTTCGCCATGCAGTCATGTAATAGCATACCAGTTTTGCAACATGTCATGTGAACGAAACAAACGCAAAAGCAGCAGGACGAGGAAATGTAAATCATTACATTCATGACATACTTTTCATGATTTTCACGTTATGACTAGTCACTTATGATTACAGTCTTCTTGTGACATAGCAATTTTGGTTTTGATAAAATTATCGAAACGTCCAGGAGATATAGATAGATAGATAGATAGATAGATAGATAGATAGATAGATAGATAGATAGATAGATAGATAGATAGATAGATAGATAGACAGACAGACAGACAGACAGACAGACAGACAGACAGACAGACAGATAGATAGATAGATAGATAGATAAGCTCAATATCGCCGAAGTTCGCTAAGAAATGCTTTGCATTTAAAGTATAAAAGGCATTGCATGCTCGTTCGAAAAGAAAAGTGGATAGGGCAGAGCCAAGTAAAATTTTGAAGAAGACGAAGAGGTCAAGTAGTAGAGGACTCCACATACACCAATCCCACCACCTAGCCAAGCCACAGAAGCTGAGCCAAACCTACTCTCGTAGAGATTACGCGCAACGTTCCCTCGATATTGCGTAGTAGGGTTACGTCCGATCGTGTCCAGAGAGTCATGGGGCGAACTAACTGAGTACTACCAGTGACGAAGCGGCGCACCTTGAATCTAGACAATTGAGTCGACGGGGAGTACAAGCGGCGACGGGACCTTGCTTCGCTGTGCAAATTTTTGCGTAAATAAGTGTTTTCTGCCAGTAGTTGTGTACACCACCAAACAAATGGTCAATCCGCCTTAACCCGCCTATGCGAAACTAATAAAATATCCGTCCTTAATGAGTAGTGGTAAATTTAATGCCGGTGAGGCATGGGCTTGGTAGTGACGATGAGGTGGACGAAGAGCAAGAGCATCAAGAAGAACTTGTTTGTGTATATATTCTTATGCCCAAAATGTCCAATGGAATAACAATATCAGAGTGGATTCAGTGACAGGCACCTACCCGCTCGCCACGCTCAATACAAAAACCATTCCTTAATTGTGCTTTCAAGTGTAACCGTTCATGAGCACCTTACGTTTCACCTAACTGCAATGACACAGTGGACGACACAGGTGCTAGCGCGGCCATAGAGCCGTCATCAAATGGTTCCGTGTGCCCCTTCACAGCTGTAACGGGCGTGTTGCATGATGACCTGAGGGCACCATCACATATGTACTTGCTATCAGCAGGGTACCGATTAAATTTTTGAGTCATAGTGGTCGTAATAGTCGGCTCTGGCGTTGGGTAGTCAATATCACTGTGCGTGGAGACAGCCAGTGACGTTTCTGTGACAGCGGCATCTTTCGGCGTAGACGCAGAGAAGGGACCTTGAGGCCCTGGCTCTCCGTACGCCTTTGGGTCGGCTGCCACTGCTGAAGCACCCGCCGACTGTGCACACTGGAGTGTCGTAACTTCTATCAACTCGGTCCCGTCGGGGTGCCGCCTCGTCGGAAAATGACACCCGTCTCCCAGACTGGTGAACACTGGGATCAACCACAGGGCCGCCTTCAGTCCAAACACCTGTGTCAAGAATCAAATAATTTGCCGTCCACTAGAGCCAAAATAAAAAACCGAATAGATACTTTCACATCACTTTTTCTTCTACTCGGCACAAAACTGAATATAGGATTCTCCTCAATGCAGCAATATCGAGATGTACGGTCATAGGTAATTCACTGTATTACTATTTCAGAAATACCTTTAAAATGCGGAGGCGTCCTGGACTCATGGTACACTGCTTTGCACCTTTACATCTATGGCACGCGAGTGGGTTGGCGCGAATAATTAGAAGCAACGTCTTCATGTTTTGTATTTCCGATTAGGAGCGTCATCGTCGTAATCTTGTTCCCAGAAAAATTGCTTCTTTGCCCAGGCCACATATGTGAGAAGAGTGGCTTTCTGGCAAGTTGGTTCAGCATTACGTAAAAATTCAGCACAAAAGACAGGGATGAAGAGAGGACCATACGTACACAGCGTATATATGGGCCTTTCTTTTTCTCTGTTTTTGCATTGAATCCCAGGATGATCCTATCATAGAATGCCTACTGCAAGTAATTAAGGGCCCACTACGCGACCATTCTCCCCTTTCTAACTAGGGAAGGGCCGATTACGCACGCGCAACACAACGCAAGAACCTACACGGCTGATCACATGGTAAATGCTTTTGAGGCTGATGACGGCGAAATACCTGTAAGTGTTTCGTGAAGGGTGGGCCGTTAACACACCCACTCACTGCGCAGTTCACATGTTTTCACGTCTACCACAATTATACACTTCCTCCACGCAACATAGCACGCATTAAGGAGACGCTTTCTACCACATGACATTGACACATTGTTTTTTGCCGAATCAGTGTCGAGTCACAGCATAGCGCTGTGGTAGCAAACCTTTTTGCCACGTAAACAGCTTCTGTTCCATTTTAACTGAAACCGCAGGTTCTCACTAGTTGGTTTGATTTTATCTTTCTTGAATTCACCGACGCCTAGGCCGACATCGGAAGTTCAGTGAAGTTAGCGTTCTAGCGCGATCGCATCATCTTCTTCAGTTAAGCCAATCCAAGTGGTGCGATTCCTTCAAGCAAGCGCAGTTCATTCTGAAGCAAACATTTTTTTACCGTCAACTTGAATTTCTGGCGTGCAAAGCTTCACTTAACCTCAATGAAATGCGGCTCCATGTGATGCTTATGTGACACACGACAAGTCTGAAATACACTTGTATAATACACTTCTACACTAACTTTAGGGTAGGCTAGGTTAAAATGCAACAAAAATTTTTAAATAGTGAATATTTATTTTTATTTCAATCCTTACAATTCAAAATTTCTTTGGGTGCAAGTTATGTGCTACATAACTATTGCGATTCTGCCACTGTTAAAAACATGATTTTAAAAACAAATAAAAATGTTACAGATCGCTCATTTTTCTCAACCTGCGGGGCAAAGTCAGACGCTGCGTTGGACATACGAGAAAGTATTCAAAATTTCATTCCTTCAGTTTTTGCCGACTTGAAATTCACTCTGTGGCCCTTTACGCAGTCTTGAGGAGCCCTGTCCTTGGACTCCACACATTGAAGCTAGACAGAGCGTGGTGTTGTGTTTCTCCGAAACTCTTTGCAGATCAAACAACACCAGCCTTTTAGGGGCGAAGCGCCTTAAAGCGGCACTCGTTCGTCCCTCAAGTAGTGCATAACATGCCTTACGTTTTGACCTGCAAGGTGGTGCCGGTGGGAGATGTCTCCTGTGCGTTGTTGAACAATGAAAAAATTGCAGCGTACGCGTTAACTAAACGCCGAATTCTCCTCTCTATATTTCACCGATAGCAGCCATTGGCATGTACATTTAGCACTACCTGACAAGAAAGGGTTGCAACGTTATACTCGCTGGGCGTGACCTCCTTGGTTTTAGAAAATTTAGCGAGCGTTCGGCCGCAGTGCCAAGAATAAAGTGAACTAGTATATACCATGAATTCGAGGTGGTTAAAGGTAGGAAGTAGATTCATAGTGCAAGCCGTAAGAAAGTGTCGTATGCCAACTCTCGTTTAATCCTTGGAATTTCGCTGGATGACGGTGCTTCTACATGCAAAATAGTCGGTTCAGACTGGCACGGTGGATGGACGTGTTTTTTCAGCGCTCCCAATCGACTTTGCAGATAAGTGGTTTTGCATGTTTTGAGCTTGCCTTTATAATTATCAAGGCAGCAGTTAAAATCTTTGTAGCACTTATTGCATTGTACGGCCTTCCCAGGGGTCAGTCACCAGGTATTTACTAGTTTGTGCGTGTGCGTGTGTCTTTGTTTTTTGTTTTTTTGCTTGCCATCCTGTGGGGGAGGTGCACGCACATCGAAGTCGCAAATTTTAGTAGTAGAGCTCAGAGTTTCTCTTTTGCGTAGGGCAGGGATCGTGTTTTGTAATTATCGAGTGAGACAAGTCATACGGACATTTGGTGTCATAAACACATGGTTAAAACTGCTGTAAAGTGTTCAGGATGCGGGATGGGTTTGAGAATAGACGAAAGTGCAGAAGCAAATAGAGAGGAGGCTGACGCGAAGTGTAGGCACTGTGATGTTGAGGAAAAAATGAAGAAAACAATGGCTGCCCAGAGTGAACTGCTGATGAGAATCTCCGAGCTGGAGACTGCGTTGGCGGCAGAGCAAGAGAAAACGAGGGTAAAGTGAGAAAGGCTTGAGTCCGCCGAGGAAGTACTAGCCTAGGTGAACAAAGGAGCGGCCAACGGAGAGAACAGTAGGGCACCGGCAACCAGGAAGGTGGAGAAAAAAGAGCAAGTAAGTTTAGAAAAAAACAGGTTCTGCCTGTTCAATTGTCGCAAAGCCCAGCTTCAGCGAAGTAGTGGTGGGGCTGGGAGGGGACAAAGCAGCCGGCGTCACAGGTGCAAGTAACCCCCAGGTGCAGGTCGCTCCAGCTGAAACGTCACAGCATGTGATCATCGCCTGGGACTCAAATTTAAATCAGTGTGCAGAAGCAATAAAAGAGAGGGTAAGAGGTGACAGAAGGGTTGCAGTAGAGACGTTCTCAGGACGCAAGCTGGAAACAGTCATGAGGCAAGCGAGCGCGATACTTAAAACTACAGCTGATAGACGAAACGTCGTGATAATTTCAGGCGGTTTAAACGATGTCTTAAATGAAGATACGGCAGGACTAGCGACCACACTGGCGAAATGGGTCGATGACATGCGCGCCAGTTCTCCTCAGCTAACAGTGATATGCATGATACCGGAGGTACTGGTGCGTGACGGCAACCTGCATAGGGTCATTGTGAACGCAAACCAAGAGATATGGCGGATGAGTCGAGAGAAAGGCTTTGAGGTGGTGGAAATAAACAGAGGTGCATAGGTGGAGTGGTTTTCAACGAAACAGAATTCACTTCTATGGGCGGCTAGGTCATGAGGTGGGTTGGCGACTTGCAAGACGCGCAGTAGCTTTTTTTGGGGGTCACGCAGGAACTTCGGGGTGCAGGATAGCTAGTAACGAGAAAAACAACCAGGGAGGCTCTCTGACAGGTGGTATGGACAGATACGATTCCAAAATGTCACCAGTATCTAAAATAGGTAGAAACCGGGTCAGAAATAAACGTAGCCACGAGCGCCGAGCCAATTCAGACATAGGTTATATTTACAATCAGGGTAGCAGAAAAAGGCTGAAGTGGGAAGAGATAGAAGAACAGCTAAGGGAGAAGAGGCCGATGGTATACGGTTTTGTAGAAACACATCCTAATGACATGAAACCACCTCCCAACAATCCGGACTACACGTGGGAATATTGTAATAGAACAGAAGGCAGCAGAAAGGGGGGTGGTATTGGGGCATTCATTCATAAACGTACAGACTGGCAAAGGGTCAAGAAGAGTGCAAGGAACATTAATGGCTAAAAGGGAAAGTGGTAGGGCAAATGACACTCCTTGGTTTGGTGTACTTGTGGACGGGAGCAAAAGCCAGAGAGGAAAACCTTGCGATGGTAGAGTGTATATCAAAGGACATTAAGGAGTTAGGAGGAGAGTACGAGATAATTATACTCGGAGATATGAATGCGCACATGGAAGATATAGATGGGTATACCGACTCGACAGGCCAAATGATCATGGATATGTGTGAAAGGCGTGATTTGATCATTTGCAACTGTACCGAGAAGTGTAAAGGGCAAATAACGTGGGAGGTAGGAAGGATGCAGTCGACAATAGATTACTCACTGATGTGATATGGGACGTATGATGAGCTCAGGGGAATGCACATAGATGAAGGTGGCTCCAGAAGTTTGGGTAGTTATCACAAACGTATCAAGCTAACTTATGGAAGAGCAGTGAAAGTGGGAAGGAGACAAGATAGCAACTACAGGAACATTTTTATTCAGATAGGCAAATAGAAATAGCTACTAAACAAATTGAGAAAGCTGAAACGGGGTTTATTGGCACAAGTAGTACTTGCACAGCAAGTCTATTGATGCGGAAAGTGGGTGGCAGCAACGGACTCGGGAATCACAGCACTCGGGGCAAACGCTCGCGCTTGGCTCCTCTCGCTAAAGGCGTGACCCACTGCGGCACATAATCTTCTTCCTCTCTACAATACCGCGGCGACAAAGACGAGCCATCCTGGCAAGTCGAGGTGACGAAAGTAGGAGTGGGTCGTGATAGGGCTTGAGACGACTCACGTGGACAGTCTCACGACCAAGGCGTCGCCTGTCTGTAGATGGCGTGACCGGCTCGATCACGTATGTTACATTAGATCGACGTTCGACCATGCGATAAGAACCGTGAAACTTGGGGCCAAACTTAGAGGACAGACCTGGATGGTGGATGGGCAGTCGGAGCCAGACCAGCGGGCCCACGGCAAAAGTCTCGACTTGCTGGTCGCGGTCGTGGCGGTTTTTTTCGAGTGCTTGCTTGTCCGAGGTGAATGATCGGGCCAACTGACGACACTCTTCAGCGTGGTGCACAATTTCAGATAGAGGGTTGAACTCTGAGACGTCGGGACAAGAAGGCCAAACGGTGTCAAGGGTGGAGCATGGCTCACG